AAATCATTTACTTATTTAAAATACTATTTGAAATTAAATTTTAAAATTGTTGAAGAACTCTGATTTCTCTTTTTAATCTCTGGTTAAAACTTATAACTAGTCTTTCTCCCTCGTACTAACTTCAAATTTGATGATTTTTTTCTAAAAAATTCTAAAATCATGCTCTATCAATTTATTGTGTTCTTATAGATATTATTTTATCCATCTTTTCATGTGATTGTGTTTTATCTATTTGAATTTTGAATTTCAAAAAATGAACACTAAATGATTTCAGTTAAAAAATTATGAACATAGAAGTTGTAGAACTTATCTAGAATCCGATAAAGTGACAGTGACATTGTTTATCTCTCTTATAGTTGATAAACTATAAGAGATATATTTTATATTTGTGAATAATGTTACTACAAATATCGGATGAATAAATGATCAAATGATCAAAATTAAAGTGGTAGATCTCTGAAAATTATGAAACTCTGTAGTTAAGAACTTTTTGATTTGAAATCATCTTGTCAAGGAAAACTACGTTTGAATTTCTAAAATTTAAAATTCGAATTTTGTAAACAACATTGGATGGAAAAACTACCAAAATAAAAGTTGTAGATCTCAAAAAGTTATGAAACTTTGTAGTTGATAACTTTTTGATTTGAAATCATCTTGTCAATAAAAACTACGTTTGAATTTTCAAAAAGTTGAAATTTGAATTTTTTAAATGACCTTAGATGGACAAACAGCAAAAACGAAAGTTTTAGCTCTCAAAAAGTTATGAAACTTTGTAGTTGATAACTTTTTGATTTGAAATCATCTTGTCATGGAAAACTATGTTTGAATTTTTAAATTTGAAATTCAAATTTTGTAAACGACCACGGATGGAGAAACTACCAAAATGAAAGTTTTAGATTTCGAAAAGTTATAAAACTTTGTAGTTGACAACTTTTTCATTGGAATTCGTTTAGCATCCCAAATACTCATTTTAAAATCAAATAAACATAAAATGGCTAGGACGAAAATCTCATTTCAGACACGAACAACTTACACGTGGAGTGGTTAGGGGCTGAAGACCCGAAGCAGGAGGTCAGGGGTTCGAGCGCCGGTAGCCGCGAAGCGTGTGATTTTCGCGTGAAAAATCATGTGACTTGTGATGCCCGACCGTGTGGCTGTCCAATGGGACCTCTCCCGAAATTAAAAAAAATTCTTCTTTTTTTGGCCTGTTTTTTGGATTTCCTAAAAACCACATCAGTGTCGGTTCATAAGAATTTGTAGTGATGTTAACCCCACATCACTGCCGGTATGCTACTGCCGATTCAAAATCCGACAGTAAAGAAGGATTTTGAACCGGCACTGATGTCGAAAACTGGGGTAGTGACAAAAGGAAATATAGGCTTGCTAAGTGGAGTGTATTATGTACACCTAAAGACTTAGGAGGCCTTTGCATTCAAAATCTAGAAATTCAAAATAAATGTCTATTGAGCAAATGGTTGTTTTAACTTACTAACGAGGATGGGGTGTGGCAAAATCTTCTGAGAAAGAAATACTTGTCTAATAAATCCCTGACTCAAGTTCAATACAAGCCAGGAGATTCTCATTTTTGGAGTGGCCTTTTAAGGTCAAGGATGCTTTTTTGGCCGGTGGAAGATTCAAAGTGTAAAATGGAGGACAAATTAGATTTTGAGAGGATACTCAGATAGGGACAAGCCCTTCAAGTAGGTATACCCCAACCTTTATAGAACAGTAAGGAGAAAAGATGATACGGTGGCAAATGTCCCACAGACTGTACCACTTAATGTGTCATTTAGGAGAGGTTTGGTAAACGAAAATTTGACTTCTTGGTATGATCTAGTATCTAAAGTGGTCGTGGTTAACCTCACAAATGGGAGGGATGTGTTTATTTGGAACCACAACAAGAAAGGCCTTTTCGTTGAGCTTGTTCGCTTGTTGGTTCCAGCCAGGGCTTATCAGTCATGGTACAATATTTTTCTCTCACAACAAACCAGCACCAGCCGGGCTTATCAGCCCAGAAACCAACCAGCGAACATGCTGATTATCCGATCCATGTAGAGAACCACGGTCAAATTGAAAATACCGCTGAAAATTAAGGTTTTTCTGTGGTATTTACAAAGAGAGTCACTCTCACTAAAGACAACTTGGCTAAAAGAAATTGGTAATGAAGTGTCAAGCGTTGTTTTGTAGTTCCTTAGAGACTATTCAACATTTGTTTTTTGATTGCCATTTGCGAGATTTGTCTGGAATACTGTAATTTTCACTTTACTAGTTTCTCTAATATGTTTGGCTCTTGGCTAAATGGCTTTTGTCTTCACCTTAGAAATCAAATTTTATTAGGCGCGACTGTGCTTTGTTGGGCATTATGGTTGATAAGAAATGACATGGTTTTTAACAAGGCTAAGTCTCCTGCATATTTATAGGTAATTTTTAGGCCAACATATTGGATCCGACAGTGGTCCCTGCTACATAATGAGGAGGAGAGACCGGCATTCAAACGCGGATGTAGAAACTTGGAGACAATGATTATGGTGGTCTTCAAAAAGTTTGGCTGGAGTTTTTGGAATCGAATTGAAGCTTAGTCCTACTTCTTCTCCAATTTCGTTGCCATTTGTCCTGGTTGGGCTGAACCTTGTTGCTTTTATTTCTGGATTCTTGGATGTAAGAGTTTGAGCCTTATGGCTTTGGACTGTGTTTGACTCTCAGCTGTGTAGTTCCGTTATCTAAAAAAACACAATCGACTGGTTGCCGACCTTCATCTTGGCAATGTTGTCCAGCCGCCCATAGAGAGTCCCGAGCAAGGCATTCGAGTCAGATGCCCTAACATGCTGCCAAGGAAGCAACGATGCACTCTCCACCTCATAGCTTGATACAGCCACCGCCAATTGTTTATGTGACTGAGCAATATGTTTAGCAGAATAGTTTCTGCATAACTCTTGTTTCGTGTCACCATAAATATTCCTTTAGTAATGTGTTTATGATGAGTCGACAACTCATTGTAAATCCTTATTTTTTTGCAAATAAACTGAGGCCCCATCTGGTTCACTTTAGCTTATTATAAAATCAAGTTTATGATTAGGATTATAGTAATCTAGATCAGTGATTATAATAATCTGGCTTGTTTGAAACCCTGAATCTCCTAGGAGGTTAAAGATGAATTATATAATTCTTATGATCCATTTGTTGGGTTATTATAATCTATTTTATGATTTAGGTTGTTTATAGATCACCTGGAGATTATTTGTCAGATCACTGTAATCTAAGGTGGTCCAAACAGAACCTGAAATACCAGTGACGATCACCCTTGTTTCACCAGTTGTTTCGCCCATCCGATGCTAGCCGAGCAATTACGAGATTAACTCCCATACGCAATAAGGCAGAAAATAGTCGAGCAATTACCAGTAACAGCAGGAGTAATCGCATCGCACTATTGTTACCAATAGTAGTATAGCACAACTAACTAAGAGCATCTCCAAAAGACTATTAAAAAACATTTTCTAAATTTACTGATTTAGCTATTCTCTAAAATAAAATCCACCTAAAAAACTAGACCAATCCAACAGCCTCTGTAAAAGTTTTTCATTATGTATATTCAAAGCTGCCACGTCATGTGGACTTTTTCGGATCATAGCATCGCGTAGGAATTTCTCCGCCGCAGGGCTCCGTCGCTCTGTTCACCGGCAGTCGTTCTTCGTGCATAGCATGCTTGCTTGACCGGCAGCTCTTGGTAGACAGCTTTGCATGCCTGTCTGCCATGCCCATGCATACGTACGTGCATGCAGGGAGCCAGCGAGGTGGTTGCACAGGAACAAGACGAAGAGGCCACGCCATGGATGCCACTGCTCCGAATCGAGTGGAAGAAACAAAGAGAAGAAGCTACGAGCGAAGCACCGATGGCTGCTTGCCGGCCTGCCGGGAGGCCTAGGAGCGAGCGTATGTAATAACCAGTCCAGCGTGCGATCAAGGCGCGTTCGCGCGGGAAGGGGCGACCATACGCGGGAACGGGCTGCCGAGCGCACGCAGAGTCGCGATAGCGAGCGACATTGGCTAGCCAATGCTAGCGACCGAAATTTCCGGGATGGACAGGGAGCTATCTTGGAGAGGCGTTTGCACAATCTGTTGGAGAAGCTTTTTCCTCAATAATAGCCATATTTAGCTTTACAAAATGTTTTAACTAGTCTCTTGGAGTTGCTCTAAGAACCAAGTTGAACACAAGTCAGACTAGTCAGGGAAGGCTGTTGGCCTACAGCTAAATTGAACATGCATATTTCTGAACACAGAAGAATGCAGATTATAGCAAACGACCGGCTTAAAAACAATATGTAAACACTTAACCAGAGAAATTGTGCAGACAAAGCAAGTCTCCTGCTGCGATAATAAGGGAGGGATCAAAGGCTCTCACCACACGGTTGCCTTTGCCTCCGATCGAATGCCAGCCCGAGCCGCCGGCGCTGCCGCCACAAGAAGCCGCGCACCGCAGGATGGAAAGCTGGCAATTATGGTGGTGTTGGTAGGAAGGAGAGGAGTTCAGGAGATTTGAGAAGGAACTCGTGCTTTTGAGAAAAAAAAAACACGACTTCGTCCTTATAGGCGTCGAGGCGGCCGTGGCGATCGGATCTAGCTCCGCCCATGTCGCCCAACGATGTGAACGAGTCCATCTCAGATGCTGTGCGTGGACGGGGTCCACACCACTTGAAGCGTATATATGGAGATGTTTATAGCGCAGTCGCATAAAATTTCCCACCTTACTTTCAGATTTTCAAATGCAGTTACCAATTTGTCAAAAAAAAAACCCCTCAGTCTCGCAAGATCATCAGTAACTGTGTTTTGAGTTGAAGATCTAGTACTGAAGGTTTTTATTCCTCAGTTAACATCGCACACTGTTCCTCTCCATACAAGTGGATATGCGTCGTGTAGTACCCATAACATATAGACCACACAAAAAAACATGCGCGAGCACACATACTAGGCACAGCCATGAGCCATCTCCCTCATTTCACTGTTCAGAGCTCCACCTTCTTGGCCTGCTGATCATCCCCGGCGCCAGGGCCGCCGATGCTCTTCTTGGCGTCGCCGTCACCGTCTCCCCCTCCCCCGGCGATCCCGACGACGCGCGGGCCCTTGATCTGCTCGGGGGCCAGCTTCCGGAACCGCACGGTGAGGACGCCGTTGTCGAGGCTGGCGGCGACGGAGTCGAGGTCGGCGTTCTCGGGGAGGCGGAACTGGCGCCAGAACCTGCCGTAGGAGCGCTCCTCGCGGTGCCAGTGGTAGCCCCTGCGCTCCTCCGCGCGCCGCCGCTCGCCGCTGACGCGCAGCACCCGGTTGTCCTCAACCTCGATCTTCAGGTCCTCCTTGCGCATCCCGGGCACGTCCACCACGATCTCGTGCGCGTCGGGGGTCTCGCGCCAGTCCACGCGCGCCATGGACACCATGGCCACATCGTCCCGGTCGAACCCGAAGGGGACGTGCTCCAGGATCCGGAATGGGTCCGCCAGGAGGCCCACGTCGGACAGCGGCGACACCGACGCCGCCGCGGCCTCGTCTCGCCTCGCGCCTGCCGTCGCCGAACCACGGGAGCAGCGCGCCTTCCGCCAGCGCCGCCGCCGTCACGGCGAGGCACGCGAGCGCGAACGCTGCGGCTGTCCTCGACATCGTCACGGACCCGACAGCTTCAGTGCGTGCGCACTTCAAACTTCAATCGAACAGAACTCGACGATGAGTGAGCAAGAAACTCCACCCGATTAAGGTCGACACTCGCCAAGATTTTTTCAAGATCTGATGCGCAAGCCAAAGTTGCCGCTTCCTTCTTCTGCGCTCTTCCTAGCTAGCTAGTGTGCCTTCGCTTGGTAATTGGTATGACGCGATGGTGACGGCGCGGCGAGGCGGGGTACATTTATAGGGTGGTGAGGGACTTGGAGAATGGAGCGCGGTGGCGAGCGAGAAGGTTCGACGAGCTCGAGAGGGTTCGAGGTTGTTGCACCGAATTTTTTATATTTTAGTCCTTTTTTTTAAGTTTTTCATAAATACGTACTCTGGGAAAAAAAACTTCAGAATCTAGACTTTTACTTCAGCGCCATTGATGCTGAGTTCAAGCTAACACGTTTTAACGTTAGCGTCTCCGATGCCTGGCGTGGAGCTCTTAGACTCAAGACCCACGTGAAGGTGATGTGACAGGAGCTCGGCGCGGCGCCATTCTTAGACCGTCTAGTTCTAGAAACTTTTCCCAATAATATCTATAATAGTCATTACATCGAATCTTACGATATGTGCATGGAGCATTAAATGTAGATGAAAAAAACTAATTATATAGTTTGATTGGAAATTACGATACAAACATTTTAAATCTAATTAGTCTATAATTGAACACTAATTATTCAAATAAAACGAAAATACTACCATAACCTAATTTCTAAAATTTGTCCAACTAAAAAGGCCTTACTTGCGTCAGGCCTCTGGTCAAAGAGGACGAGCCGTGGACCCGCCTGCTGCCGTGTGCCGTCCTGCTCCAGTAGCTGTGCGCCTTGCGACGTGCGATGGGATGCTGTCTCTGGCGATGTGTTGATATGGATTCAGTGACTGTTTAGTTTCTAAAATTTTATAAATTTTTTTAAGATCTTTCATCACATCGAATTTTTAGACGTATATATGAAACATTAAATTTAATAAAAAATAAAACTAATTACATAGTTTAGACAAAATTCACGAGATGAATCTTTTAAGTCTAATTAGACTATGATTGAACACTAATTGTCATATGGTTATCGTAGTACTTTCATTTTTATTTGACAATTAGTGTTAATCATGGACTAATTAGCCTCAAAACATTCGTCTCGCGATTTCTCATCAAACTGTGCAATTAGTTTTTTTTTCGATCTATATTTAATACTCTATGTACGTATCGCAAAATTCAATATAATAACTACTTAGCACTTTTTTAGAAAACCTTTTAGAACTAAACAAGACCACAGTGACTGCTGCCGGAGCAGGTAGGAGCGGTAGAAGTAACATGTGAGCTGTTGTGCGGCAGTGCAGTGCCGAACGCACTGATGGAACCGATGATGTGCATAGGTTAGCTTGTCGGCTGATTAACATGTCAGAGCAGATCTATGTCGATCTTGTTTTGGGCGCGTTTAGATGCAAAAATTTGCGATTTCTCATCAACTGTGTAATTAGTTTTTTTTAATCTACCTCTAATACTCTTACCGTAAGATTTAATATGATGGGTACTACATAAAAATTTTTGAAACTAAATAGGCCGTTATTGTACGTACTGCTGGGCTGGGCAAATATGAGGATGGATGGCCAGCCACCCGTCGCGTCGCGCGTTTCCAGATGGATTTCTGTGCGACGGTAAGCGATGTCGTCGTGGTGCCGGTCTGCGTGCGTGCTGGACACTAGGATTAGATCGATTAGGGACTAGAGAGGGTCGAGCGGGGGCGGGAACATCTTTTGCTCGGTTGGTCCGGCTCCGGCGGTGAATGGACGGACGAACAAGATGGGGCACCGCACCACCGCCACCGCCACCGCCGCAGCGCCTGGTGTTAGGATTGATCTCCCACCAGTTAGGCCCAACGGCCTAACTGGGCCTTGTCCTCGCGCCCTGATCGGGGCGCCCAACCCTATATGGTTGGTGGGCCCCCGTCGCACAGCGCTATAAAGGAAAGGTGGGGGCCGGGGCTCGCAGTACGAGGTTCACCGCGCCGCCACTCACCCCACCGATATCCTAACCCTAGACCCGATCTTGAGAAGGGGCGCTGCCAGCGACGGGAAGCACCACCGACGCCGGCAACGCCACCCCGACGCACACGTCGCCGCCGAGGACGCCACAGCGCCGACTCCCTCTCCACCGAACGTCGCTGCCGGCGCGCAGATGGCGTCCGTCAACGAAAACCCAGCCGGAGCTTCGACCACTACGGCTTTTGATGGTTTGCAACCTATCACCCCCTTTCTCCCTGTCTCTCTGTGATCCTGAACACCTATTCCTACTACCAATACATCCCGATCTGATGAACATGCCTAAAAACGAAATCTAACAATGGTATCAAAAGCCACGGTTCGACAAGAAATCAGATCGGGTAAGTGAAACCGACCGATCTGATGCGGATCGAGAAAGAAAATAGAAAGCCGAACCCTAAGACCTAACCCTAATTTCCTAAATCAAATCGAAAGAAGGGAAAAGGGGAGGGTCGGATTCCGAGAACCCTAGACACAAATCCGAAAGAGAGAAAAGGGGAAGAAGAAAGAAAGAAGGGTCGAAACCCTAACCCTAACCCCAAGTTTTCCATTCGGATGAACGAAAAGAAAGAAATCAAAAGCAAAGAAAACGAATCGGCAAGAACAAACTCTAACCCGAATCGGCAAGAACAAACCCTAACCCTAACCCCAGTTTTTTCCCAATTTGGATAAACCCGAAAAGAACAACTCAAAGAAAGAAAGGGGAAAGTAGGGGTAGGGTTAGGGTGCATCGGATGAACTTTTTCGCCGGCGCGGGAGAAGAAGCCGAGTCGGGGGCGCGGGCTCGGCCAAGGGAGCACCGCGGCCAGGCCGCTCGATGGCGGCGTGCTCACCCGTTGGGGAGCATGCACGCCGGTGAGGGGGCCAGCGACGGCGCAAAGGACCGCTCGCTCGTCGCTCTTTCGCTCTCGGTTGCGGCTCGCTGCTGCGGCTGAAGAGAGATGAGAGAGAGCGGCGAAGAAGAGAGAGAAAGGGAAGGGTCGAATGGCTAGGGTTTCTAGGGCGCCGACCGCGGCGACGCTTTTGATCCGCGCAAAACGGCCGCTCGGCCGTCGGATCAGATCGAACGGTCGAGTTTCGCTGGGCCAACTCGCCGGCCCAGGCGGGCGCGAGGGCGCGCGGCACTTTTGAAAGCTCTAGTTTGGTTTTGGTTAATTGATGAAACCCTAAGTGCTAACCTAGTTTATCAAGATGATTATGAGATAGGTAGCACTACTCCAAGTGATGAAGCAATGACGAAGATCATGACAATGGTGATAGCATGGTGATGATCAAATGCTTGAACTTGGAAAAGGAGAAAGAGAAAAACAAAAGGCTCAAGGCAAAGGTATAAAATGTAGGAGCCATTTTGTTTTAGTGATCAAGACACTTAGTGAGTGTGATCACATTTAGGATAGATAGCCGTACTATTAAGAGGAGTGTAACTCGTATCGAAATGCGGTTATCAAAGTGCCACTAGATGCTCTAACTCATTGCATATGCATTTAGGATCTAGTGGAGTGCTAACACCCTTGAAAATATTTGTGAAAATATGCTAACACATGCTAACACCCTTTAAAACACATTCGACGCTTTTAGAAAAATGAAATGTCTATTTTCTATTGCGTCGGATGCAAAATTCTTGGTGGTTGGCACATTTGAGCAAGGGTGAAGAAGTTAGAGTTGAAATGGAGTTGGTCGAAATGATGCTGGCGTCGGTCTTCTGACCGGACGCTGGGTCACTCAGCGACCGGACGCTGAAAGGCTGCGTCCGGTCGAGCTGTCAGATGGCACAGTGGGTAAGGTTGAGCACCGGACGCTGGTCTGCGTCCGGTCAAGGTGGACCGGACGCGTCCGGTCGAAAAAACACGCCTCGGGGAGCTTACTGGAAACGATCGGACGCTGGGGCTTCAGCGTCCGGTCAGTTTTGACCGGAGCGTCCGGTCGACTTCAGAGCCGTTGAAATCGGCGAACAGCGTTTGAAGCTGGTGACGCGTGGCGTCCATCGGCGACCGGACGGCCGAGAGGGCAGCGTCGGTCGATGATGACCGAAGGCGTCCGGTCAGAGCGCGTTTTGCCCAGTGAAGGGATATAACGGCTCTATTTGATTGGGGCTCTATAAATAGCCCCATGGCCGGCTCAAGGGCACTCTCTTGCACATTTTCATTGACATAACAACTTTGTGAGCTTAGCCAAAGTTCTTCCACTCATCTCCATCATTGATCCATCATCATTGTGAGATTGGGAGAGAATCCAAGTGCATTGCTTGAGTGATTGCATCTAGAGGCACTTGGTATTCGTGTTGCGCTGCGCATTTCGCTTGTTTCTCTTAGTGGTTGCCACCACCTAGACGGTTGGAGCAGCGGTGAAGGATCGGCACGAGTTGGTGATTGTTCGTGGCCACCTTCGGTGATTGTGAGGGGAGTTGTACCTTCCTCGGCGGAGCGCCGAAAGGTAACTCTAGTAAATTGCTCGTGTCATTGAGTTACCTCACTTGTGGGTCGGTTCTTGCGGTGTCCAATCGTGTGGACGAGGTTTGTGAAACACCTCTTAGCCGCCGAACCACCAAGTGTTGGTCGACACAACGGGGACGTAGCGTGTTGGCAAGCACGTGAACCTCGGGAGAAAATAGATTGTCTCTCTTCTTTGTCATTCTCCCGGTGATTGGCTATATATTCATCTTGTGATTGGTTCATCCCCTACACATCGGTATAATCAC